GCTATGCAGCCGGTAGCTCCTCCTCCTCCTCTTCCGCCCACTACTCAGCAGGCGATTCCGGATATTCGACCTATGGCTCCGCGTCGCCCGCCGCCGCCGCCGCCGCCGCCGCTCCTCCTCCGAGCGGTTCAGCGGTGAGTCTCTTCCAACCCCAGGAGTCGATGGTGGCCCCGTCGTCCGCGGCCCGCCGCGGCTTCTACGTCGTCCCGCGGCCGGGCGTCAACGGCGCGCGGGCGGACTTCCTCAAGGGCAAGACGATCGTCATGACGGGAGTCTTCCCTGAGATCGGGGGAGGGACCGGCCTTAACCAGGGCAAGGACAGGCTCCGGAGCATGTGCGAGTCCTTCGGCGCGAGGGTGACTTCCGCGATCTCGGGCAAGACCGACATGCTCATCGTTGGTAAAGAGCCGGGCGCGAGCAAGGTCGGGAAGGCGAACGCGTCCCCCAAGTGCCAGCTCGTCTCCCTGGCGGACCTGACGATGAGTATCCAGGGCGAGCAGCAGCTGGAGTCCGCGCCGCCGCCGGAGATAGAGGCCTTCAGCGAGGGCTACTCGGGCAACGGCCTCCACATGAGGCTCGGGAGCGGGCGGGGCAAGGCCGCTGCGAAGCGGTTGCTGGCAGACGTGAAGAAGCCAAAGGCTGCGAAAGCTAAGGCTGAGAAGCCCAAGCCGAAGAAGCGGGCGCCGGCTAAACCGAAGCCGAAGCCCAAGCCGAAGAAGTCGGCCGCTTCCAAGAAGACCGCCGCGGGGAGGAAGAAGGGCCCCGCGCCGAAAAGGAACAAGAAGAAGACGACGACCGACATCGCGCCCATCTCTTGATTGAGAAGAACGTAGAGAATTCTGCCGTGCACCGAACAGGAACAAGAAGACGACGACGGACATCGCGCCCATCTCTTGATCGGGAAAAGTAACGAAAAAAAGGCCTTCCGTCGACGATCCGACATGGTTTTTCGTTCTGTTGTTCCGGTACCTGAAAGCGTGAGATGCGTGCAAGGTGTATCTCCTGCAGCTGGAGATTTGAACGTCTCCGTCTCCACCCCCGTTGACAAGGAGGAGCGCAGTGAATAGGATCGAGACTGCTCGCGTCATGTTGTTGTTTTTTTGCCTCGGGATCCGGTAGGGAAGGAGGACGACAACTGTTAGTGTCAATGCTTCTGTTTCCTCTTTAAGAATATGCATATTATGGCTCTTTTTCTACGTCCACGTTCCTGTAAATTTTAATTTTTGACAATTACAAATCCCTTTTTCTCCTTTCAAGAAGAAACAACAACACAGCTGGTTTTTTTAAGTGGAGTGTAGCCGTAAGTGACGGTGGTGTGTGGTGGTGTGTGGTGTGGTTGTGTAGCGTCGCGAGGTGGACGGACGGACTCCTGCTCTTATCGTGAATCCTGTATGTATGGTGAGAGTCAGTCGAGTTTGGTAGTTTTGCACGTATGGCGGGGTGAAGGGACGAGAGAAGGATGTCGGGCGATGACCACCAATTTCGTTCGTAGCAGTGCGAAAAGATGGAGATGGGCACTTCATCCTGCATACACACACGTGTGTTGCGCAATAATTTTCTTTCGCAATTAGTGAGTGTATGCTGTACCATGTGGTGAGACTGATGGTTTTCGCCGTAAAATTATCCAACAATGCGCCGATTTGAATGTATCTCAGGGCAGATGATGGTGGTTGGTACAACAAAAGAAATGACTCCTTTGGTGCCAAACGTGTGTAGAGATGAATGACGAGGCATGGCCAGTAGTTTTTTTAGGTTGCGTGTATCGGACTGGGTGTAAGAGTGGCGGAAATATTTTTTTCATGTTGACGGGGGCGGCATAATTACGACTTGTCAGAGACAGACTGGAATCACCTACTTCCTGGAGTAAGTACGAAAAGCGTTTCACTTCATGCGAACACTTCCACCGTTGATACTGCTTCCTATACATGCAGGACGTTCCGTAATTAACACCCCACCCATTGCCCCACCTACCAATATCTACAGCGCAAAATCTGGTATCCACAGACCGTCCGTGTCATCAGTATAGTAACCAAGATTCATCCCTCTCCCTCTCAAAAACACTACCTACCAGTATAGTTTGAGGCTGTCGGCGGACGAAATGATATGGTATGACACCGATGACATCTGGATCGTGGTGTGTTTGTATGTATGTGGAGGGAAGGGGTGACACTCTTCGAAGGAACGTTCAAACCCTACATACATTTGTCACGCTGTGTAAGGTGTAGCGCTCTCATGTTCAACATGTGGCTCATGTGATGTCATCCGTGATGGCATGATGCATGATTCGTCATGCAGATCGTGGTTCACAAAAAGGTATGAGAGCGAATCTTGGGGGGGAGTGCATTTCATGGACGGAACCCCCTGCGTAAGCTCAAGTGAAGTGCGTGCAGCCACGGAACACTGCTGGACGATCGATGTGAGAGGCGCGTTGGCAGCAGCCAGCAGTCGCGGTGGTCATGGCCACCTCCCCAGCGAACGAGGTCTCTTCCGCTCGGAAGTCTTCGCTCCACCCTTCGAAGAATCCGCAGCATCCTATCCGGCGTAGAAGGTCTCGGAGTTGGCAGATGGAGATGGGCATCGCCGCAGGAGAAGAACCATCTGGCAGTGCTCGTGCTCCCCGAGCCAGCGGGCCGATCACCATTGGCGACCGAACAATGCTGCCTTCTTCCGGCCCCGCCGTCGTAGAGCGGCAGCAAAGCCTCGACAGCTCTCGTCTCGATGTGTTCGGGCCCGAGGAGGCAGCAGCAGGCTCGGCGGCGGCTCCAAGCTCTCGACTGGCAAGCAGGTTTTCCGCCTGGTTTCTTGGGAAGAAGCGGATGATGTCTCTCCCTTCCCCATCGCAGGTGCAAGCAGCAGATCCCGCATCATCATCATCAGTACCCAACGGAGGCAAGGGGGAAGGCGTCAGCCCCAGCCTGTTCCAGCGAGCAGGGGTAGCCGACGCGACTGAGAAGTCAGTTGCTGGTGCTGACGCCATGGCCAAGCGAAGGCACAGCAGCGGCAGCACGAGCAGCAGCAGCAGACGGCCAGCGTCGGGAGCGTTCAGCAGGCGGGGTTCGGATGCGGCGGCGAAAAGGAAATCGCACACGATCTTCCCGGGAAGCTCACCGATGCGGCCGGCTGGGGCAGCAACCGCTACAGCAGCAGCAGCAGCAACTGGGAGTATGAAGGCACGGCAGGTGGGGGCGGGGGCAGCAGAAGAAGACACGCTGACAACTCCGCCGCCGGCCGCGCGGCCTTGCCTGCCGAGCTGCGAGGCAAGAAAGAGGCGGACACCAGCAGCAGCAGCAGCAGCAGCAGCGCCGCCTGCTGCGACTGCAACCGGACGGCCACCACGGCGGGCAGGATTCGCCGACTCCAGCACTGCGGACGATGCTGACGCTGGCGGGCAAGCACGGGCGGTGGTTGAGGGGAGGCCGATGGGGAGAGATAGCAGCTCGGAGGATAGCTTGCGGGGAGGACGGGCGGCGGCAATAAATTTAACGACGGGACTGCAGCCAGGGACGGAACTGCTGTGCCTAGACATTTTTATTTCGGCGATCGGGGGCGATGAGATTCGACAATGGCGCCCGGCTGAGGTAGGTGGGGGGGGGTGTTCTCTCGTGCAAGAATCGGACGTCATGCACGGCGTGCTTGTTGGTTCCCCGTTTTATCCCATCTCCCGGCGGTTGTAGAGTTGGTATGCACATGCACTTTTTTCCCGAAACCCCTGAATACCAAGTGAGAGCATGTGCCATTTGCATACATTAGCTAGCATACATACCTTAGTTTCAGAATGTTGCTCGCCATGGTTGGTTTGTGAACACGTGTTGTAGGCAACGCGAAGAAAAAGAGCGCGTTCCTGTAAGTGGCGTTCCTACTGCTGTGTGACCCCGGCTGGTGCTTCCACAAACCTGCTAAACGGTGTGCAATTGTAAACGTCAACGTACACCTATATATCTACTAATTGGTATAGCAACACACTCAAGTTACGATACGCCAGAACGTACCGCCTAGGGCCCCTACGCGGGGCGCTGCACCAGGTCTGAGCTTCTGGAGTTTACAGGTAGAAGGTTGTATTGATAGGAACATGTCAATCATGCCGCTGAGATCCAGCAAGCTGTAGGTTTTCGACCATGCCACCCAAAACACAAGAAGGCCCGAAGACATGAGACAAAGACCCCCAATTATTCATGCGGTATAAAATTGTGTGTGCGTTCACGTACAACTATAGTTCCCACGAGAGGCAGAGAGAGGGAACTACGGAGAGTAAAGACCAGCACCGCCTCTTCGGCACCTCAATTCCTGTACTTTTGAGGAGCCCTTGCATGGCAATCGTTGCCGCGAATGCTGGCTCTTTCAATAGCAAGTGAAGTTTTGTTTCTCCGTTGGGCCGTGTTCCATTCCGGGGCAGAAAGCTGTTCCGTGTGTGCGGAAGAGGCGGACTAGGTTAGCTGCCGTGGCATGCGCTGCTGCTCTCTCTCTCTCTCTCTCTCTCTCTCTGCCTCTGCCTCTGGCGCGCACGGGACCGTCACCTTCGTGCTGATGCACGCGTTTTTGGCCGAAGCTGTTATATGCCTTGCTGGCCGATGGATGTGTGTTTGTCTGGGATCCAGCTCCGGCTTGTTGGACCTCAGCGGATTGGCCGGGTATCTTCCGGACTTCACACGATGGTTAAGGGTGCTCTACATACTCGCGTGATTGGCGAGAAAACGTCAACCTGTTTTGCTGATATGCCATCCACTGACGAGTGCTTTATGGCTTATTGCTGTACCTCCCGTGTGTACCCTCTGCTGGCGATTTCGAGCGTTCATGCAGGATACCTGTCAGTCCAGACTCGAGCGGAATTTAACGAACTTGTCGAGACCAAGCCCACAACGAACAAAACAAGACAATAAACGAAGACGACCTATTGGGGAAAATATCAACAACATTGATACCACTTCTATGCATATGTGTCACGCAATATATCCTAATACTGGCTGTTCATGGACGTTTTCCATGATGTTATGTTTTTTGAAGACATGCATATAGCAGTCACAGACAGACTGCTGTACCCGTCGGAGATATTACTGTACCGCATCTCTAGTCGAAGGGAATGATTTGTTGAAACCTTTGCATCGAGTGGCAGAAAATCCGCAGGATACTGGGCTACTTTTTGAGTTTATTTAAGCCTAGACGCTGCTGTTTTGGTCGCACCCGCCACCTTTCTTCCACTCGGGTTTGGGGATTGGATTGTATGACTGGAAACCCCACAAGAACAGCCGGAGAATCAATCGTTTTGTAGCTGCGTTGGTTCTTCCATTCTCGAATAGCGTCACTTTCGCAGTTGAGAAAGGAACAGGCTTGGGATTGGATGGTTGGAAATGCGAGTGTTGACAGAGAAAGAGAAGTCGGAAACGGGTCTGCGGTAGTTGCCGGTCTCAAGCAACTGCCCTCAAGATAACACACACCGTTGTTGCACAGCCAGTGACACCTTGTACATAATGTACGCTAGATACCGACTTCCCAATGTGTAGATACACACTTAACACAATTTTGAGCGTACTGTAGTCGGAAAAGCCTAGGGCAAGGCCGGACAGAAAGACCGACCATCCGCTGTCCTTTCTCTACTGTTGCGTACGACGAAAGCGACACCGACCACTTGTTGACGATAGCCCCGCGCTCTTGTTCTTCCGGGACGTGCGGGACGATACCAGCTGCATCCACGTTTTATGTCGGGCATCCGCTTTGCGAGAACCCCTACGAATATGCACCCCACCGCATGACCACGGGAGGGCGCCCGAGTCGGGACTGAGTAAAGACGGGAACGATTTCTACTGTGAAGATACCGACAGCAACAGCAACAGCAGCAGCAGCAACATCATCAACTATCTTAAAGCAGTACTGATTTGCCGCACACCACGCCACCAACCAACCTTCGGCCCCCTCGTCGTACCACAGGTCACAGAGATCATCCCGGGGGATGGAGGCGGGTTACAGGCGCGGGTGGTCTTTTCTTCCTACGCGGAGGAAAAGCAGAGCATCTACCTTCACCTCGAGAACGAGTGGAGCCGGCTAGCCCCCGCGCTGTCCCTCACGGAGGAAGATATGGCCAGGGGCGTGGCGCTGTCGGGGGAAGCCCTGGCCGCGAGCCAGAAGCGGTACAAGCCGCCGCCGCCCAACCCGCCCGGCCGCCGAGAGGGTAGCAGCCGACACGCCGCGGGGTTGCATGACGGCGCGAGGGGTGCTGCTGGATGGGATCATCGCCGTCCGGACGGTGACGGGGGTGGTAGCGTAGAGAGACCGCCCCATCAGCGGCAGCGGGAAGAGTCGGGGAGCGAGGACGTTCGTGATAGCGGCAGTTTTTGCAAGGGAGGGGGGGGTTGCAGCAAGACCACTGACGTGGCCAACGTTACGGCGGCACTGAAGCTGGCGCTCGCGGCCGAGCAAGGCGGCGACACGAGCAGCAGCAGCGGCGGCGGCAGCAGGCACGGCGCCGGCGCCGGCGCCGGCGTCTCAGCAGCCGAAGGACGGCCGGCGGATGGCGGCGGGACGGCATCGGCTGACGTCTTGCCGGCGCCGACCGGTGATCCACCACCGCTACAAGAAATGCGAGTGCACGCGGTAGCGGCGACGAAGAAGGCAGTGGGCGGTGGAGCGGAAGGCTTGCCGGCGGCGGTGCCGCGTCGCGGCGGCGGCAGCGGCGGCGGCGGCAGCGCAAGGATAAGAAGGTTCTTTGGCGGCGGCGAGGAGCCCGCCGTCGAATCGGCGACGGCCGCCGCGCCTCGACCAGACTGCCCTGCGAAGGAGACGACGGCTACCAACGGGCTACAGTCGGCGGCAGAGGAGCGGAGCGCCGAGGCTATGGCGGCGGCAGCTGGGGAGCAGGGGGCGAGCAAGCCGAGGGCGGGGAGCGGTAGAGTTAGGAAGGGGAAGCAGAGGGGGGGGCGGGCGGCAGGCACCGGCGCGCGGAAGAAGCGGGCGTGGGCGCTGTGGGACTTGGCCAAGCCGCCGACCGTCGGCGATCGCTTCGATTGCCTGGATTACTTCGTCAGCAGCCAGGTGCGGATTAGACCCCCGACCCTACAATGTACCATACCTGATTGGGTGGGTGTAATAGACGTCGGTGTGTGTCTACGTGTATGTATGTCTGCACCCCGCCTCCTGTTCTGGACGGACACAATATTTAGTCAAGTTGAGGAAGAAACGGAGAGGTTTTGACGGTTGTGTCCGGTGAACCACCAGAGAGGGCGTGTCACAGACTCGGATTGGACACCGTCTCGGCCCCGCCCCCGTCTTGCTCAGCTTGAGGTTTTGTTTCGGGATGGAGGAGGATTTTATTTTCCTCGGCCATGCTCGTGCCGTGTTCGTTCCGAAAAGAGGGCAAGGCGCGAGGCTCACCGATATCCCACCCAGAAACCGGGTGGGGTAGCGGACTTTACATGATCGATGCTCTGTATGTTTTCATCAGGGATGTCCGGTACCCGGAACTGACCCTGTAACCTACTGGTATTAACCCCTTATTCAGTATTTGGCGTAATATACCAGGGTAGTAATCTAGCCTTAGGGTAGCAGTCTCTACTTTTTATGACCTGAGTCGACGTCTTTTGCTGGAAGCATCAACTGCAGAAATGATGACCCTTGGGGCTAGTCAGCGTGACGTGTGGCCTTGCTTTGTTGAGAGTCGTTGGCCGGTATTGTGTGGTATGGGCCGAGATCGCCGCGTAGTAACGGCTCGGTGTTGTGTGCGCAGCTGGTGCGGCAGAGATTCCCTTGGAAAGAGTGTGGATTCTGTTCTCTAGAGGGGGGGAGGTTTCGATACCTTTTTAGCGGCTCTCTTTTTGTCGTTCCGGGATCAGCATCCAGCCGTGAGCGTGCGAGCGTCGGCGTACAATACTGTACTGTACAAGGATGGTGTCTCGTGTCGGGGGAGGCGACCTTGGGACGGTAGGCAAGGGCTGGGGGGGGCGACGTGAGGATGAGACGACCGCAGCAGCAGCAGCAGCGCAACAGCAGTGGTAGGTAGAGCTGTGCTTCCTTTCTTCTCTCTCTCTCTCTCTCTCTCTCTCTCTCTCTCTCTCTCTCTCTCTCTCTCTCTCTCTCTGCGGATCTCGATTTTTTTTTTTTTCCTGTTGTTTATTCTTTTTTCGCTTTTTGTTCTCACCGGCGGCGTTTCGTTCGCTTCTTTTGCTCTTTGTGATCGATCCTGTCCTGTCTTCCCGCGGTGCTCCGTGCTCCGTGCTCCGTGCTCCGTGCTCCGTGCTCCGTGCCCTGGTTGGTAGACCGGTCTGAGCGCTGAGAAATGGAGAGGGGCCGAGGTGATGGACGTTCGGCACGCCAACAAGGGGACGCAAGTCTTGGTAAGCGCCGAGTGGGTACCAGGTAAACGACCCCCACCCCGAGCTCCTTTTACGGCCGGTCTGTTCGCGGCTCTTTGGGGCTGACCGGATGTTGAACCGTACTGTAGCTCCGCACTCGGCTTGTGTGACACACACCGCCGTGGCCGACCCAACCCAACCCTAACCCTCACCCGCGGCCAACGCACGGCCTACTTTGTAGCGGCCGCGAACTGGGCGAGAACGCGGCGGCTGCGCCGTCTTATCGGAAGGCGGAACAGAGAGAGGGCGCTGAAGAGGAATCGACCGCCCAAACCAACGCTCGACCAATCAGAGGGCGTAAAAGCCCGTATGCATAGGGAAGAGTCAGCCCGTAAAAACTACTGCCCGCCCCCCCCCGCCCGCCTTGTGCGAGCAACCCTCTCCTCCCCCCGAAGCGGCGTCGAGACCGCCGCTAAGCGAGTTTCCTTGTTAGCGTATCGATTGGAAACAAGAACGAGCGAGCAAAACAAAAAACAATGTGTCCAAAATGGCTGGTTACAGCGGGCGGTGCCTTCGACGTGGCTTGCCATGTGGGTGACACGATGAATCGCGCTCTCGACGTTTGTTCTCGCCCATGTGTCAGCCATATCTGTCAGTCTTGTGTTTGCTCCCCCTGAGTCCCCGTGAACCGTGCCACTGCTTTTTACCAGGTGCGGTTCTTGAAGTGGAACTCGAAATGGGATAGATGGATATCCTTGTCGCAGGAGCCGGAGCGCTTCGCTCCTTACCAGTCGCATGCCCCGAAAGTGGCACAAAAAGCAAGCGGTTCGGGTACGTATGTCGGGATTTCGGTCGCTACCGCCTCTGTTGGTTTACGTTGCTGGATGCTGTTGTAAAACACTTCCGTTGAGAAATATTCGGAGTAGAAAAAGGTGGGTATACCCACCCCTTTTTGGCCAGGGTCAATCCCGGACGGACCTATCTTTCATCACGTAATGCCATGTCATGCCCTGTCATCATGGGGTGGTCGCCTACCTTCACATTGGTGACGTCACCTCTGTGTCCGTAACTAGACCACTGGCACCCTGTTCATGGTGCGAGGCAGCAATCGAGCTTTTTTGGGCTGGGGGGGGGGGGGCGACGATTACAGCTGTACACACTTGGAAACCTGCTGAGGCTTCTAGGGAGTATAGACCATGACGCACGCTTTTTCTTGTTGGCCCTTGTCTTCCGTCACCAAGACTGTCATCGGGTCGGCGCATGGTGCGGTCGCACCACGTCTCGAGCGTGGCGTAATGTTCGATGTACCCCTCCTACTTTGTGCATTTTGAGTTGGTTTCGATTCCAGCTTTTGGACGCTGGTCCCGCCTATCATAGTCGCGCCCACAACCATGTACTATTGTACACCAGCACACCATGCAACCCTAAATGTCATCGAATCGGCGCGTGGAGCGGCCAGGTCACGTCTCGACGTTACGGGCGCCTTGCTCTGCTGTGCAGTTCTGTAGCCCCATACACAACGGTGTGCCCTTTTTGAGTGTGTGCCGATGCCCATTTAGTCGCCCCCCTTGAGCAAAGTCGGAAGGAACGATTGGCCATCGGTCCTGTGGAAACAATGCTCCGTCCTCTTGAGGACGCGTGGTCAACGGTCTAACAGCTAAGGCATGCAAAACATGAGAGTACGCCCCCTCCCCCCCCCCCGTGCGCCTCTCGCAGAGTTGCTGGCGTCGGAGAGAGCGCACCAGGATAGCCTAGGTAGCGCAGGCGAGAGCTCCAGCGCGGCCAGCACGGCGACCATGACCAACAGCTCAGCCTCGAGCATTGGTACCCTCGGCGGCGGCGGCGGCGGCGGCGGCCGAGGTGGTGGCGGGATCACCGGTGGTTTGGGGTCCGCGAGCGCCAAGGGAGATGAAGACGCGATTGCTGGGCTCAGCGACCCCGCCCTGTCCAAGTCTCGAGTGGTCAGTGAGGGAGGGAGGGAGAGGGGATGTGTGTGTGAGAGAGAGAGCCACGTGAAAGCGAGAAGAGGTGGAGTCGGAGAGTAGCAGCAAGACATACGGGAAGAGGTGTCTGTATCGGAGGGGGAATTGATGCTCCGTCTAGTGGAAGAGACAAGAGGCGTGGCCAACTCTGTCAAATGGTTTAGCCAAGCAAGTGAGCACCCCCTCCTCGAGCCGCCCTAGTTTCGTCCTCTAACCCTTACACCGCCCCCCCTTGCTTTGCCTCTCGCTCGCTCCCGATCACGGGGCGGATACTCATCTCGATCGATCGATGCACCGGAACAACAACAATTAGTTGCGCTCTCGCACGCACAGCGACCTCTACTCGTCGGTTTCGCCCGCAGCGGCACCCGCGGCACCACCACCACGGGCGGGAGAGAACCGCGGCAGCAGCGGGCGCCGTCCGCGTTCACAATCACCGGCCCCGACGCACAATGCCGCCGCTCCGCAGCACAGCGGCGGCGGTGGCAGCAGGGACGGGTCGAGAAGAGGGGGCACCGGTGGTACCCCGAAAAGGACGGCGGCGGCGGCGGCAGCGCCAGCGGGGGGGGTTCGCGCGAGGGGACCGTCGCCGGTTGCGGCTAGGGGCGGCGACAGCGGCGGGCGGGGCAGCCCGACCGGCGGCAGCGGGGAGGACAGCGAGGAAGCAGCGGCGGACCGGGCGTTCCGGGAGGCGATGCGGCGGACGGGACTGTCGGTCGTGGACGTGGAGCCCGACGGGAACTGCCTGTTCCGGTCGGTGAGCCACCAGATCTACGGAGACGCGGACCGGCACTACCCGGTGCGGAAGGCCTGCGTGGAGCACATGTACCGGCACCGGGCGCGGTTCGGCGTGTTCGTGGCGGAGGACTTCCGGGACTACCTGTTCAGGATCAGGCAGCCCGGGGTTTGGGGGGACGACCTTGAGATCCGGTGGGTGTTGTTGTTGTGTGTGGTGGTGATGGTGGTGGTGGTGATGGTTTCGCAGCTGCTGCCCCTGCTGCCCCTGTTGCTGCTGTAGTTGGTTGTTGTGTTGGTGGTGTTGGTGTTGGTGTTGGTGTTGTTGCCGTTGTTGCTGTTTCTGCTGTAGATGATGTTGCTGTTGTTGCTGTTGTAGATGATGTTGTTGTTGTTGTTGTTGTTGCTGCTGCTGCTGCTGCTGCTGCTGCTGCTGCTGCTGCTGCTACTGCTGTTGTAGTTGATGTTGCTGCTGCTGTTGCTATTCGTTTTTGTTGTTGTAGCTGCTGTTTGTTGTTTGTTCTTGTCTCATCGCGCTTGTGGTTGTGGTTGTTTTTTCGAGGAAAGTGCATGGAGGAATCAACGCCAAGGGAGTGTTGAAGGGATACAGTAGCCTTGTGCTTGCTTGCGTGGGAACCGAGAAAACCGCTGGCGCTGCTGCTGTCTCTTAATAAGAGCGGGCCGGCTTGGCTGGCTTGGGCGTTGCAGATTCCACGATTGGTGGGCCCGTGGCGTTGTTTACCACTGCCACCTCTTCTTGCTAGAATCCATCACCTGGAGCAGAAAAAGGTGTTGCTTGCATTGCTCGGGCAGGAGAGCAGTTCCGTCCGCCCATCAGATCTGAGCGTAGACCTCGCTAAGACCCTTTCTCGCTAACGGTTACCTGGTACCATTTTTTGTCGAGCGCGGGTTGGATTGTGGGGCAGGGGGGTGGGTTGCACTCGAAGGGGTTCTCGCTGTAACGTTTTTGCGGGAAACACAATGTACTCTTACCCTTCTTCGTTCTTATTTTTTGGCCTTTTTTTTTTGGGCTATCTGCGTCTGTCTACGGCGTGGGATTTGCTATTTCTTCCGGTTGCATCAACGCCGTGTGTGCTTGCTGCTCGATTTTTTTTTGTTGGCATTCAGGGCGCTGGAGGAGATGTTCGACCGCCCGATCGAGATATACTCGTCCGAGAGCGAAGGCCTCCAGCCGATGAAGATCGACTTTGACGCCTCGGGGGTGAGTCTTGGGGGGAAGTGGGGGGGGGGGCGGGGGGGGGGGGTAGCTTTGCCGCCGCCGCCCGCCGCTTGCGACGAGGCTGTTGCATTTCTTATCCATAGCGGAGAGTCCCGCATGAGATTGGCGACGGCGTCATTCCTGTCAAATTCTCCGTTGGTGTTCTTGTTTGTCCCCGTGAAGATTTTTGCAATGAGTGATTGATGGCGTTGGCACCAAGAGGTAGAGGAGGGGAGGATGAAACTTCGTCGGTATCACCGACGAGAGTTACTGACACCACCAACATTGATGATCATTGAGCGTTCTTGTAAATAGTGCCGCATGCCGTTCTTTCGGGGCGTCTTGAGGGGCACCGCTGGTGCAAGCCCTCGTATCGGGGGGGGGGGTGTACTCATAGTCGTGCATGCCGTAGTCGTTTGACCATTGACCTCGCATCCCTACAAAGCCGGGACGGAGCACGCCGGGTTCTCACCGGACCAGGCTCTCACATCACCAAGCGCGAAGCGCCGTGAGGTATTTGGCGAGTCGCATGAAGGGTGAGCTGCATCCTGCTAAGGGTGTTCGGCATCTTGTGCTTACTTCCTTGCGTACGGATGACAGCTACGTATGACTTAATTTATTTTCTGGTGCTTTCACTTCCAGAGACAGTTGTAAGCACTGTGTAACTGCCTCGAGGAAGCTTGACCATTTTAACACAACGTGGTGCGATCATCCCCCGTTGCGCGGAGTGAGGTTTCTCGACCCCGCACAACATGATCTACTCGACCACCATTATGGTTACCGCCAAAAAAAAAAGAGGTAAAAAAAAAAAGACGGTAACCTGGTTGCCGAGTTCACGAAGTGAATTGGCTTGTTTTACAACGTCGTTGCACAAGCGACGAAAACCCAATCCCGATGGCAAACACCGAGTGGGGGGCTTGTTTTACAACGTCGTTGCCAAGCGACGAAAACCCAAACCCCGATGGCAAACACCGGGGGGGGCGGCTTGTTTTACAACGTCGTTGCCAAGCGACGAAAACCCGGGGGGGGGGGCTCGTATCGGGGGGGGGAACGAGATCAGTCCAACGCCTGCTCTCCAATTGTAATCGCGTATTTTTCCGTTCCTGCTCCCCCACCCACCCCCGCCGCTCTCTTTTGGCAGCTTGATATGGGGATGGCTCCGATCAAGCTCAGCTACCACGGTCAGAGCCACTACAACTCGGTCCGAGACTACTCCCTGCGATATCCCTTGCATCCACGCAGGTATAGCAGTACAGCAGTACGGCAGTACGCAGCATCGACAACGCGCGTGATAGGCAGAGCAACAAGGGTCCCCGTATGTGCATGTCTGTGTGTGTATGCGTTTTTGTTACTAGCATCGACCGCGCTAACCGGCTGACCGATGAAAATACGTCAGTCTTGGTGCGGTTGAAAACACAAAACACTTGTGTATCTGTGTTTTTTTTTTGTTTTTTTTTTGGGTGGGGGGCGGGTGGACGACGTTGTTGGCGGTTTTGTAGCTCGGCGCCAGCCGTATTTCTCCCGCTCAGTTTCCACCGACTTCCGCCAGGACGTGCAGGAGAGAGTGAGTTACTTGCGGAGGTGGTCGGGGATTTGTTTTTGCAGAGGTTCGTGCATCAAGTTTTTGTTGGGACCAGACGGGACATACGGCACCACATACCCCTCGAGCAATATGTGCCGGTTGGTTGACCGTCTCATTCTCTTCTCATTTTACACCCTCTCGAGGAAAAACGCCGTCGGTGCTACAATCCCCCTTGCCGCAAGCACGCCTTCTGATCGGAACAATGCCTCGCCCCCCCCCCTCCCCCCCACGTTGTCCTCCACGGAACCCCCGCAGGTCGAAGCGCATCCTGCAGATACGGGAGGCGCAGCACGCGCACACTCCCGGCTCAGCTGTGCCGGCTTCTCTCAGCAGGCCGGGCGGCGGCAAGGCGGGCAGCAGAGGAGTGGGGGTGATAGAAAAGTCTTGCAACTCTCGATTCGCGGGTTTCAAGGAGAGCGCCGCCTCTTCGTTCTCTGTCGGAGGGGGTTCCGCACGTTCGGGGGGAATGGGGGGGAAGCGGGGTGGCCGCGGTGGCCGCCCCAGAACTGGA